AAAAAGTCTTAAACAGAAGATGGATTAACCTGTTGAAAAGAATTTGCACTAAAAACTTTCAAAGAGAAAGCACAAAGACAGAAATGAAGTTGGCAGGAAATCAACTTCAAAACTGGAATATGTAAGGAGTAATGTAAATTAGATCATACTGGAAGGTACAAGGCAGAACTAAGGAATTTTCATATGGTTTAACAACTAAGGATTTAAGAAAGTCTCAATACACTTGCCACCAAGTGAAAAGATAGCAAAGCAATGAAGGATAAGCCCTTACCCTTACAGACTTGTGAATGAAACAAGCTCGACAATGGGAAGACAGTAGCCTAGTAAAAGGAGTAGGGTGTACTTTCTGAACAAATAAGAGAACTCACAATAAGAGGGGGTACCAAGATAAGTAAAGACATGATAGCAATCAAAAGGAGAAAGAATATGACGAGTAAGTTGTTATACTAAGAAACCAAGTATCTGAACTGAAAGAGAGAGAGATAATATGACATTTAGGAATATGTCAGCTATATCATCCAAATAATAATATTAACAAGCAAATTAATGGTTCCAGATAGAAACTAAATGCAAAACAAAAAGAAATGCCTTTTTTAATGCTCACAACATATTTGCTTAAAAAAAAGAAAGGAGGCTAGTTATAAAACCAACACATCTTAATAAAAAAAAACACTAAGTGTGGGAAAAAAGGTCCAATGGGATAATGAAGTTCAATATATAATTGTGAAAATGAATTAAAAAGTCACAGAACTATTAATTAATGCATAAGAAATCTGCCTGCACAAATATAAAAAAAAAGTTTTTAATCTTAAAAATAAAATTACAATCCAACAAAAACAAAACACCACTAATAATAATACTATAAATAATAAGGAAATTTGAAGTGCTTAAATCTTACTAACCTTTAGTTCTTTCTAGTTCTTTGTCTTTTTTCTTCCTGGGAAGAAGAAGAAGAAAAAAAAACAGAAAATGTGACATATTCTATTTAACAACTTGCTTCACAATTGATTTGAAAAAATAAAACTAAACTTCTGGACTTTACCCCATCATAAAATATCGATTAACATAGTTTGTAATTCTTACTGGAGCCTCGAGCTCACCATCAATATATGTTTAAGTGAAAGAAAATACAAAACTTTCCTAAAATATCATTTACTAAGAAAAACATATGCCACAACTGAATATAACTGTTTAAATATATTAAGTACAAATTGTGAAATTTACATATTTGCTGTTATTTGAAATAATCACAAAGAAAACTGTAAATTATTTTTAAATTACTGATAGTTAATACTACAGATTCTACTCATAAATCGTAATTACAAAATATTTATTAACTTACAACTGTTTCTCCAAAAAATCAAAAGATTTCTGCTGTTTGCTATTTTGTTCTAATGACTGTACATGGAGTTTATATTGCTGCACAAGTACCTGAAATTAGGTATAAAATGTTATTGTCTTTCAAGGGAGAAAAACCCCAAAACATGCAACTTCTTACTTATAGTGATACCTTCTCCATATCTATTATAAGAAATTATACTAAATGACAAAAAGGTTCTAAAAAATACAAAACAGGGCAAAGGCAATTTAAAAATAATATTATTTCAAATTTATTGAAGGTAATTCATGTTTTGGAAAATGAAAATTATAAAGAGCAAACACTTTGCATAATTCTGTAAAGCAGACACTATGATTTTGAGCTTGCAAAAAAGGTATACCGTTAACAGCTTGTGAAGAAGGAAAAATAAAGGTTTTTGATTAACACTGTTCTAGTTTTTGTATTTTACATATCTAGCACTCTACACATTTCTTTTTTCAAATTTCTAATGTGTTTACCTTATTTTTCAATAATGGTTTATTAAATGCTGCCTAATTACCACCACTATATAGGTATAAAAAACCTCATGCTAATGTTTAAAAACTAAATTATTTGAAATAAAAGTTCAATACACAATGATAAAAAGCATTACTTGTGAAATTCACATGTTGAAAAAATCTCAGGTTATCAAATTAAGTAGTACAAGACAGTACTTTTTAAATATTTAGGGTCATATTAAAAATTATTACATGGGACAAATAAAAATCCACATGTTTACTTTCAAAGTAAAAATACAGTGATAAAATCATTACACTACACATCAAAATCACTCATTCAGTATACTATATGCGTGAGCTACAGTGGTGTAATGAAAGTTAATGAGAACTGACAGATCTATTATAATAATACTCAGTTTTGTCTGTCCTGAAAATGCACATCCACTTCACTATCCAAACTCACATACATACACACTTCATTTCAACAGATATAAACAAAAGGTGGATTTAAATATACTTTAGTAAATATTTTGTACAACATATTAAAAGTTTTGAAAAAGTATAATGTTAGGTCTTACCATAACATTGTAAGTTTATCTATTAACAGTATTAACTACAAAAAATTTAGCCCTAACTAAACTAAAGCAAAAAAAAATATATACACAAGTTACAGTGTTAATGCTTAGTAAAGGCATACCTAAAGTTAAGCTTAAGACGAATGGACTTGTAAATTTCAGTGTCTGTGTTTAGAATTCTTTTGTATTATTGTAGTAATCCTGTATTTAAAGAATTACTGTTGCAATAAAGATATCAATTTGACCAGAAATGTTGTGAAGGTTTCTGCTATTATTACAATAAATGTTACATAAATAATTTCATAACAGAAATTTTTGTCTAAATTTTACTGTCTTATAATGATCTAAAACAAAGAAAATGAAAAAAAATAACTGCAATTATGATACTTAGTTTGAGAATTTTATTATATAAATCACTTGGAGAAATAAAGCGGAATTTAAATATTTATATAACCATGGATGAACAATAAGCTAATATAACAGTGATGTACTGTTGTTTTATTAAGTTTCTTCTATCACTTCATTTTTTGTTAATTTTTGAAGAATACTTCATACTCTTATGAGATCTGCAAGAATTATCTGTCCATATTAATTGTTTGTTATTGAGCACAAAACTACACAATGGGCTAAATGTGCTCTGCCTACCTTGAGTATCAAAACTCAAATTTTAGCATCATGAATTGTTAGACTTACTGCTAAGCCACCAAAGGGGACTGTAATTTTCTGTATATGATACATCATATTTGTTTAGACAAACCAGACATAATGCAAGTGAATCCATCCCAAAGTAATTAACTATTCGATTTCAATTATTTTTAAAAATGGAGATTTCAAATACATTTACATTTTTGGATGGATAATAAGCTAGGATCACACACTGAAAATGAGATGAGGTCAGAAATTAAGCAAAAGCTTGTATAAACCTCAATAAAGAAAGCTAGGCACATGGAGGGAACTGGCCATGTTCAAGTTATGATGCCATTCTTAGATTCAAACTGGAACATAATGCAGCTGACACTTGGTTGAGAGTGTAAAGTTCCTAAATGGGTAACTAACAGTATGTTGGGAGCTTTCCAGCTACATATCATACCTGTCCAATGAATTCACTAGAAATAATTTAAGAAGAGTATTAAAAGAGTGCCAAGAAAAAAAGTCAGAGAGGCATACCACGTATCATGAGGTTTTACAACTTAATGAAGTAGAGCAATTGGTTCAGAGCAGACCCATATTTTTTGGTTTTTGCCTGTTACAACATTGACTGTGAACAAAGTGCCAAATAAACTGGGTGAAATGTTCATTTTCTATGTAAAATACATAAGAGACCCCAGTAGTAATTCGTGGGATACATTGCAATACTGAAACCAGAAAATTTTAAATCACTTTTAATGATTGGCAGTATAAATAATCTATAAGCAGGAGAACCAGGAATAACAGAATGGTCCAATACAAGAAAAGATGTCAACAGCTTGAAAGGAGGCAAGTCAGAACCTTTAAAATCAGAGAAATGTCCCAACGTGAAAGTGTTTTCAGGCAAATAGTAATAAAGATTATTAAAAATTCATGGAAGACATAAGAAAAATCGCAACAATAGATATAGTTGTTGAAGATTAAAACAGTTTGAAGCAAGAATACAATAAGACACAGTTTAACCTCAGAAAATAGTTGGTAATAAAATGCTCATGAAATGAATTCATGATTTCAACAGCCTACTTAGCTAGAAAAATAGGAACCCCTTAGTTAAATAATTTCCAGACAAAATTATTTAAGAAAAAAAACAAGATAGAGGATGCTGAAATAATAGAGGAATGAACATCAACTATAGCAAACATTTGGATACCTGAAGAAACTAATGCCAGGAAAGGACAGGAATCCAAATGGAAGTTAAAAAGTTGGAACCTTTCACATAGACATAAACGATTCTAAAGGAATTGAATGTTATCAATCCTACAAGAGGGGCAACTTGCCTATTAACAAAAGCTCAGAATTAGAGCTCACAAGGTAAGAAATATATTACTAGCAAAAAATGACCGAGGAGGTTTATGGTGAAAATAATTAGAAGGAAATGAGAACAAAAATACATCAAAATTGTTAATCTAGTAACCTAATCCTGAATTTATATTCTTTGAAAAGCATACTCAACATAAGTGTTGAGCTGATTAAAAAATATTACAGTACACATTCCAAAAAAGAAAAAAAAAGTCTAATCTGCAAATCCTACAGACAAGATATTAGAAGTTACATCTGTCCCACGATCACAGCACCCTAAAAACAGGCTAGTAAAGTGACATAGCTAAGCCAACAAACAGAATAACCAATAACAAGAAAGTTGAAAGTAAAGTTTGAGCTAGAAAACTAAGGATATCAAAGAAAAAAATATCTGTATTTACACAATTATCTTAATAGCATTATAATCAGTTGGCACAAATATAGCAAACTGTAGTTGTCAACTTTAACATGCAATGGAAACATTCATACATCAATAAAAGAGTTTTAAATTTCTGAAAAAGGAAGTCTAGAAGCTGAAGATCAAATAAAATGGATACTTAAGATTCAATTGAACAACAGAAATACAGAAGAATAGAGACATACTTTAGTGACTGTAGCTGTATCTGGAAAATAAGAGTATAAAATTTTTAAGTTTCACTGCCATGAAGCACATAGACTGATAAAGACAGATTCTACACAAAACAGAACACTGAAGTTGAAAGTGATATGACTGCTTCAGCAGATGAATGTTCATATCATGTATACTGTCCTTGAAACAGAATTTTCAAACATGATAAGGATGGTATACCATTCTGAATGTGAAGGATAAAAAAAAAATAGCAGGGAAAAAAGAAACAAAGTTATGTATATAGCCTTTGATCTAACACATGACCATATTTACTGTCTTTCTTCATACCAGAGAAACCAATTTCAACATAAAGGAAAAAAAAAATATTGTAAAACAGATTTTTAGAAAGTGTAAAATAAAAGAACTAAGGCACTAAAAAGGACTTTCTGATTTTGAGCCATAAAAAAGCAATTTAATTAAAAGAGAGAGACAGGGGTCAAGGTTGGAGTCTACTATAGAATGATGCATAAAAGAACACCTGAGAAGTTTGTTCATTTGCATAAAGCTACAAAAGAGCTAACTGCACTAGCTGTTTCAAATTTTTAAAAGAAAGGCAGCTACTCAACAGCAACAACATCAACACTTTGGGCACTCTAATCGAATACTGAGATTTGACCATTTCGAGGATCTTGCAACAACAGGACATGAACCACAGACCCACAGATTCACATTCCAGTACAGTAACCACTAAACCATGCTTAGTCCAAATAGTTCAGAAAAAGTCCTGTGTGTAAATATAAATGTGGCTGCTTCCTATTAGTGGAGGAAAATTCTCATAGATTTCAAAGAATCAAGAACAGACTTCACAAGATATATCAGAATTCATAGCCTCCAGAACAAACAAAATTCTATGACTTTCAGAATCTTTTTTCAATATCGAGAATAAAAACACAGCAGATCACCCTCAGAATAATCTTAGCAAGAGATCCACGAAACGCAAGCAACTTTCCAACAACAAAAAACTGCACGTACTTCACCAATGAAGGTTTGTCAAGATTATTTTTAAATATCAGAATTGTTATTAGGTATAAGAAACAGTCAGAAAACTCTAAGGAAATTATTCAGTGAGCTACCATTTTGCAACAAGTACCATGTGCATGCACAAGAACTGCACTTTTTGAAACAATGAAAACTGCAAGATGCCACACTGATAGCACAATAAAAATTCATACTAGCCATGCTGACATGAAAGTTCCCAATACTGTTCATCAGCAAAACTACTTTGCATTGACAGATGGCATGACTGCCCAAATGATACTTTTGATTGGAGACTGTCCAATTTTCATAAATTTACATGATCTTCCATGCTTGGAAAATAGTATTTTGAAATAACATGTGTTTCGAGGACCACTACAAACCCTATATGTTACAAATTAAATGAAGGGACTGACAGAATATAAAATTCCAAAAAGTGCTACTGGTTATAAAAATAGTTTCTATATGCTAGATGTAAATTAATATTTATATTTAAGTTTGAAACAGAATTTAAACTAATAAGAATAATTCTTCCATCATTAAGTATTTTGTTTCACTGAAGTATATCTTAAAATATGCAATGAACAACATAGATAAAAACAGTTTAAATATTTATTTTCTCTGGAAAACAATTTCAGAATTATGGTAAAATATTTCCGTGTCTTGGAAATTTTTTCAAATGGATAGAAATAGACAGGAAAAATCCATACATATTGTAATTTCATAGTTAAATATTTCTATATTAGGAGTACTTTAAAAATTATTACAGAGAAATAAAATATATAAAATTAATTTTGTACAAATGTCTGTTGGTTTAGAAATAATTTTTCACATACTTTTTGAAGCATAAAAGGGAATATAATTATAGTCAGCGTTCAAAATTAAAATCAATTTATACTTAATAAAGGGTATATAAAATATATTAAATGCTAAAAGAATAAATGCATTAAAATAGTTTTTTAAAAGATTTTTTGACACAATAAAAGAATGTTCAGTCTGTCAATTTTAAAGGGATTTCTATTGCTCATGAGATAGAATTCAACTTTGGTTTAAGTTTCTATATGGCTAGTCTCTGATTCCTACATCTTACTGTGATGTAACTACTTCTTAATAGAAAGTTATTTTCATATGCAGTCCTGTCACATTATTGGTCTAGGTGTTTGTATATGTCTAAAGAATTCAAAATCCTTCAAGTTTCTCATGATAGGCACCTATATTCAAAAGTATTGGCCTAATGTGATAATTGTTTTTGTGAACTTGGGTAAACTATATAAAATACCACAGACAGAACTTACCAATCTGATATCCTTGTATACTTTGTAACTAATAACTATATATCTACATTTAAATTTTGCAAAAATTGCAAGTTTGTTTTTAATTATTTTCTTAAAGTATTTGAAAAGAATGAAAATATAGTTATGAACAGTTTTGAGATTTACAATCTAATGAACAAGTTTATTATGAGAGTTTTGATATTGACTCTCCACACTAATACTCCTTTGCAAGATATAATTCATATAGCAGCATAATTGGTTTTTAAAAGTTATAACACTGTAGAAGAGTCAACAAAACTGGATTAAGTTATTAAATTTTAATACTAAGAAATTTCATTTCAAGTTTGATAGTAGTATTTATGATCAAATAGATGGTGTTGGTATGAGCTCAAGATTAGCACCTAGTCTAGCAAACATCTTTCTGTTATAAAGTAAAAACAATGGTTGAATAATTATCCAGATGGTTTTAAGCCTGTTAGATACCACAGGTATGTTGACAGATTTTTTATTTTTAGGAACTAACATGTGATGTTACAATTAGAGTATCTAAACAAACAGTATCCTTGTATCAAGTTTACAACTGAAGAAGAAATGGACCCAAATTTGTCGTTTTTTTATATCTTGATATTAACAGTTTTGGTGATCATTTAGAAATACGAATGTATCATAAATAAATGTATATATGATTGTACAATAATTTTGAAAGCTTATTACAGTTAAATGTAAGGTCAATTTGATAAACATATTAGTTTATATAGCTTGTCAAATTGCCAGTGACTATCATTATTTTCATAAAGAATGGGAAAGTTAAAAAAGTATTGTTTAAAAATGATTTTAATCTATCATTACTTAATAACATTTCAAAATTATGTTTAAACGGTGTGTATACCCATTGTAAAGCGAGTTATGATGTTCCAAAACTGTCCTTCTATATAAGTCTTCTATTAACCCTACTGACACGAGTCACAGCCTCCCATTAATGGGTAAAGAAAGTTATGTTTTGGGGAATAAAATCAAAAATATCTTCAAATCAAATTATCCACAAATTTCAGTGTGTACAGTTTTAAAATCAGTCTTGAGAACTTTTCATGCTAAAGAACATAATAAACTTCAACAATCTTACATTATTTGTCAATATACATATTCTTGTTGTGGATGAGATTATGTAGAATCAGCTACATATTACTTAGAGCAGCATATAAAAAAGCATCTGAAGCCTAGTTTTGGTAATTTTTCAAACAATATACATCTACAACAATAATGCGATGTAACTGCAGATTAAAAGAAATTTAAAATAATATGTAGTTCAACAATGAGCAAGATGTAAGAATTAAGAATATCTGTTTTAGTACATATGCTTTGAGCCAACTTGTCAATAATACAAACTAATAGTTGTTTCTTTTTCCACAGTATTCAATGCAAATACTTTTTTGAACTATATCATACTGTAATATTCAGAGATAAAAAATTCTTTACTACTTACCTATAATCATAATTGCAATGGAGAAATTAGTTACTTGTTGCACTTGTTCATATATTTATATTAAGTCTTCTATTTGACATTAATTTACCCAAATAACACAAATTAATTTTTCACATAAATGCACAAGACTCCTTACTTCTGAAGCTGCTAGTTTATCCTGAATAGTTGTTAGTTTTTTTTCATTTTCTAGTCTCTTCTCTTCAAATTCACTATACGACTGTAAAGTAAAATACAATATTTGATTTGTAAAAACTTTGAATATTAGAACAAGGTTTTTAAAAAAAATAAATGAATGGAAATCTTTTTGAAGTTTGTAATGATGCAAAAATTAAGTAATTGGGTGATGAGGAAATATATACATAATAATGAATTTTATAATTAATTCTATCAAACTTGAAATATCTATCTCAATCTAATAAAATACATTATTTTCAGCAAAAAATATCTGAAAATGTATTTCAAATAAATGCCTACCTTTCTGCACCATTAAGAGCTATCACCTTGAGCACAACTGTCATGCAGTTTCTTATGCAGGCCACAAGCCTTGGACACATTCTCATGCCTATATGTCTAAGTGTATTGCATCATCATCTGCTTGTAATTGCTCCACCCAGGAGATTATATGTCAAGACTCACCATGCCCGTCTATTCTGTGCCTTAGTCACACAATTACCAATTTTCTCCACGGTCGAACTCTCTTTCTACAGCCTTCCACCTTGGCTTCAATCAAAGTTCTTTGAATCTTATTTGTTCTGATAATCTTTAAGAAACAACTGCTACCATTGAATGTAACTTTCTCAGATGCTGACCTCTCAACTGAGTTTAAATCAGCTTCGTCATTTTGTAGATTACTTCTCTGGGCAAGGGCATCTTCTTCCCTGTCATTGTTTATAACAGAAGTGGTTGCAGAGGACCTAGCCCTCTCTGTATCTACTTCTACTCTATGTATCATGGCTCTACATTGACTATCTTTGGGCTTTATACTGTGTGAGGTCCCAGACTCTTCACAGGTGACTGGCTACTCATCCTACTAAGTGTCAAGACTATGCCCTAGATGTGTCACACACTTTGCTGTCAACCTCCTTCAGAGCTGTTGTCCCTCTAAGTAGTTGGGATCTTCCATCTCCTCTGCTATATCCAGTTTTCATGCACTTTAGGGGTGACGTCCCCAAAAGTGCCACACCATCAAACTGGTTCCTCTCACTTAGTTTTGCACCACTGTTGAGCGGAGATATTGGAATATGGCCATTGGCATGCACAACCAACTATTTGGTGCCATAAATGAGAGTTGAGGAGTTGTGGAGCATCAGTGATCCCACCCACACCCATATTAACACAGGTGTGCAACAGGCAAGTCATTCAAAGGTCTTAGCCCTCACAAAACATCCCCCATATACCCCACAGCAGCTTAAAATGTAACTGCAATAATGCTGTAGCTCTTTACCAACAGTAGGTCAACATGACCTCAATGTGCAGTAACCCCAGCACATGATAATAGGCTCGTTCTTAATGAAACAAAGAAAATGTTCTGGAAGTGGGAAGGTGGTACAGAGATGTAAGTACCTATCTAAAATACAATTTCAGGTAAGGAGAACATTAACTTCAGAAATGCTACTTACCTCTATGCACCACACTGAAAATGGTGGAGGGCCATGTGCAGACTAATTGAAAATATTAGCTTCATTCTAAAAAAAGTGAAAGCACCTGGTGGGAAACTGTATCTTTCTTAAGCATGGAACACTTTTCCCTCTATTTTCTGATATATATTATTTGATATATTTCAAATGCATTAAAGACAGATTAACAGTAAATGATATTAGGTAAATCAAGTGCCAGTGGTAATGTGTCGTAATGTGAGCGGAACGTTAGTGTGTGTGTGCACGTCTATTATGGCTAGAGTGTTAGGTCACCCAGTCTTGGTGAAATATGTATATGAGGTAAATATTGTAACAACAGGTAAAGGGAGATGGAGCTCTCACCTGAACATATCCACCAGGATCTACTTGGTAGATACTATAATGGGGTGTCCTGTACTACACTCCCAGAGAACACCCCAGCCCTACCTGTCAAATGAAGGGAGGGGCCCAAATGATCTCTTGCCACGTGGAGGATGTGGCTGGGGGAAGGTAACCTTCCATATTGACATCCCAAGTAGCTTAGGACTGCAGAAATATGGGTTCTCCTGTGCAAGGGTATGTACTGGGGAGAACACTGAAGAGTGTTTGTGGACCACTATCATAAGGTTAAATTATTTAAAATTTGGTCTCCACCTAGAGTCAGTGAAATGGGTTACAATGACTAAAGACAGTAAACAACAGCCAGATGTAAGGGCAAGAGTACATCTGGTGCTGACTATTTTTTATATATTTTAAATGGCATATGTTGTTGAAAGAAACCTAAGTAGAAGTATAATGGCTAGAAAAATGAAGTTGCAATCAGGTTGATGGAACAAAAATGCAACAATAACAAAAGCAATGAAGCAAGAAGAAAGAGGCAGCCCATTAAGTAGACTATAAACTCAAAAAGCACACTGAACACTGGCAGTGCTGAGGGAAGAATGAGCCTATAATCATGTTCTAGTGCTCATGGGGATTACCAACAGCAGTTGTTTCACCCTCCTATTGGAGGAGAGCTACAGCATTACAATGATTATGTCATAGGTTGGTGCAATACACATAGACATATGTAGAGGTAGGAGTTTGTTCAAGGCTTGTGGCATGCACAGAAAATTCTGTGGCAGTTGTAAGTGAGATAATAGCTTTTAGTGGTACAAAGAAGTAGGTAGTGTTTCTAAAAATTACAGGAACTGAATAGCTACTACATGTATATATGCATGCTCTTATTTCTAAATGACTTTCATCATATAAATTATAAAAGACATAATAGTTGTTTATCAAAATAAGTAAAAACTGTAGATTTAAACTAAGAATTTTACAGACCTTCTTCAGTGGCTCCATTTCTTGTAAAGTACGACTGAGTTCAGCCTCATACTTGGCACAGTCACTATAAAGCATTCAAAAAATAACAATAAATGTGGTTATTTTTTCAAATCCAATTAAACAATTATTTTGAAAATGTATAGGTTATAGTTTTAGGTATACTACTATGTATATTTTATACACAAGTTTTTTTGTTTTGTTTTTATCGGTTATACATAATAAAACTTTTAGTTTATCCACAACGTTGTGAACAAAATAACCAAAAGTTTTACTATGTACAACTGATAAAAAAACTTATTTGAATTTTAAAAAACATAATTCTTTCTAATATTTAATTTATGTATATTTTTTAAAATCTTTACATGCCTCTTAAGGTATCATTAAACTGCATTTATTGATGTTCAGTAAATTTCAGCCTTACAATCTTTAAAGCAACAAGGTAATCCAATTTTGATCTACTCCTAACAAAATAAATACATAAAACCATATTTAATATTAATATGTAAGCTCTTTTCAAATTAACAATAAAAATAATAACTGAAAAATTAATTTTCATATGTAATGTTTATGTTTGTTTTCTACCTATCAATATCTATCTATCCATTCTGTATTCAAAATATATTTTTATAGAATTAAATGTTCATCTAAATAAAAATCACATAGACACATTAGCACACACACTTCCATGTAAATATATTTTAATAACACTTCGGATAAGCCTTTGGTTACCATAAATAAAGCATTATGAATTCTGGTATAAAATAAAAATCTAATGTTTGTACATCTTTACAAGAACTAAATTTAAGGCCTTTTCATTATTTCAAAGGCTATTTTCAAGACTCACTGATTCTCATACTTTATGGCCAATATACAGCATCTTTATATTTTCTCTTTCTAGTTTTAGAGGGAAAGAAACTTTCCCCAACTGGGTTGTTCAAGGATACTGATAACCCCCCTTCATCACACTCATATGGATTACATTTACCTAGAGTGGGCTTTTAATAACTGTGCTAACGAGGGGGTTTCTGATTAATAGTTCATGGATTTAGATTCTTGAACTTAGGAGGGCTCTAAGATTTTAATCATGATTAAAATTAAAAGGTAGAACTTGCATTAGGCAAAGATGGCAAAGTGAAGGTTGAGGCTGTCATCGTGGAGTTCGTCAATTTTTTAACAAAGACAAATAGCCCATAGTCAGGATCACAAGTTGGCAGGAATCTATAAATCCAATGTTGTAGGATTTGATGTGGACCTTCATATTTGATATATTTGATTATGTTTTGTATGTACTACATAGTACAAATGAAACAATGTCATAATTAAAACTGGTTTATTGTTGTAAAATATAAAATGAAATCTTAACTTTATTAAATATTATGACCTTTGTTTCATTTTATTTATCCATTAACTACCATTTTATTATGGGAATTATGGAAAATGTTGTGGAGTTACTTTTCTATAATGCACTATTTTTCAATTAAAATTTATGCTATAATGTTTACACTGTCAAAATATACACACTGTAACAAGCAAAAACACATTTGATATGACATTTGACACATCCATAAAACTAAAACTATAAAAACTGGATAAAACAATTGTTGAGATAAAATGTTTCATTGCATGAAATGATATAGATTATTAAAGATTTTTAATCTTTAGTTGCAAATGAAAATACCATACATAAAACTTACCTTCTCAGCTGATCCACAAGTTTTGACATATCCTCTAATCGTTGACTCTGATGATCACATTGTATAGAAAAGTTAAGGAAACACAACAGCTTGAATTTTAGGCACGTCAATAGGTTTTATTTTAGGATTATTATTGAAAACTATAAAAACTGCCAAAAGTCAACTCCTTAATAATGTTGAATAGCTGTTGAAGTTTGTCCCTTAAAAATTATAATAATTTCGAATTATTTGAAATAATATCCACAAACATAATTGTTGAATCCTGCTGTGTCTTACAAAGGACATTCTACTACAAGTAGAATTTTATCACAATATTTAACACATTTAAAATAAATATAACCTTCAAAAGTTGTATAATTATCTTAAATCATAATTTTTTTGGGTCTCACAGGCTACATTGAACATTTTATCTCCATTTGTAAACTGAAAAACTTAGTAGCCTTTGACAATTAAGCTGTGGAAAATGAAAGGTTTTCTGCAAGTTTTATTAGTTAATGTTAGTGTTCAATATGTTTATCTTTTATCTCTTTGCATTTGTTATAAGGGCTGCAGAATGAGATTATACAGAATTTGACATTATGGCAGTATTGGAATAATTTTTTTTTTTTACACCTGACAAATGATATTGTAGCAACTGTTGTGTTGGACTAAGGATGTGAGTACACAGTATTATATATATCAATAAAATTTTGTTTCTTTAACTTGTTTGCAAGTAATGTGCTAATCTAAAATAATTCAGTGAAACCCGACTTTACATTAATGAGATAAAACTATAAACACAATTATATCTGATAAAACAGAAGCTCTAAAAAAGGATATCTTGACGTTTGGCACTGTACTTCCTGATGAGTATACTAAAAGAAACAAATATATGAAATATAAATACATATTAAAAACAATCATCATCATCATTAGAAACAAAGTAATACTGAATGATATTACAGACACAAATTAGGCTACAAACTACTTATGAACCAAAACACTTATTATTAGTAAACATTAAGACTATGCAACAATCAAACACTAATTAAATTATTTTTCCATCTTCCCCAGTCATCTTGAAACTTACTTCTGTGGGCAAGAAAACATATAAAAGTGTTCAAGTATAATCAGATATTACAAATAATAATCAATAAAAGAAAAAAATCACACATGAGAATAGATCTAGACAATTAGTGTAATTGGCTAATATTGTCAAGCTTATTAAATGATTACATTTAACCAATTGATTATTCAAATTTTGATAGCTAAAAGAAAAAAAATTATGATTCTCACAAAAGATGGCTAAAAAACAACAACATATAATACTAAAAACTTGGTTTCAATGCTTACAGTAAGTAGAGCACAGACAGCCCATTGTGTAGCTTTGTGTTTAACAATAAACATAATTGCAACATCTAGATTACTTGGATGGTTGGAATGATAAAAATAGTAATAAAGGGAAAGTCTAATTTCAATCAGTTGATTATTTTCATGAATCATGACACTAATCGATTAAGCTGAACAAGTTTAAATTAATGAAAAATCATAATGGTGCTATTTATATTACCAGATAGAGTAATCAAAAATAGTAATAACTGTGAACATTACTTTGATTAGTTGATTATTTTCAAGATATTAATGAATTTAATCATAATTTCAATTAATTATTTTAAGTAGCAATGATCAAAGTCATTGACTCTCACAGGAAGTCGATTATACTAATTACAAATTAATTACCCAGCTCTATAGAAAAATAATTGTGTTAAAACCATTTTGAAGGCAGTGGCTAAACAAGAAGAGAAATGTTTAAAAATATATGTTCCTATAACTATGTTTTTGTCCATGAAAGTACACTTTGCAAACAACTTCATTTACAAAAAAACAAACCTGTTAACTTGTAATGTTACAGCAATAATTTCTATTTGACTTAAATATCAGATACTTTACTATACACTGAATACCAAAATATATACTAAATTAGTGAAATACAAAAAGTGCAAAACAGATTCTAAGTTTTAAAAATGGCAGACAACTTGCATTACGTATAACCATGTGCCTGAGAGTCAGAGGAAAAAATATGGTTGCATACAAGCGTGGTTACTCATCATCATATGACACACCTTACACAAGTGTACACTTACTATTAATAGCTGAACTGAGTTTGTTGTATAAATATTATTTTTAGTACATTTATGTATACATAAGTTATGATGTTATTTGTCTGGACAAGAATTTACTTTATAACATATACACTTTAATATATATATACATTATGTATCACAACATTCTCTGAAAATAATCATTCTGATTGAAAACATGCATCTATTTTTTAAACTATCCAACAATTTCAATTGTTAGCAAATTTAATCAATTATTAAGACAAATAAAGTATTTTACTTTATGTCTTTCTACAATATTTGGTCCAATTATTATCATTCAAAGAATATAAGATATAGTTGCAGACAATTAGAAAGGACTTTTCTTTGTCAGAAAATATTACTTCTATATGTACCTTTAAAAAACAAACTATTGTAAACAGGAAGTACTCAATTTGGGGGAAAAAATCTATAATGTTATGGAATTTATCAATAAAACTTATATACTACTTTATAATAAATCTATTATACATTAACTTAGTTCAATTTGTTATTACAATTAATTTTAAATATTTGTTCCATGAGCAAAGTGGGGGTGGATAGTGTGACATGGGCATTGTGTGGGAGACATAGGCTTACAATTTAAACAGTACCAAGTCCAAACAAAAGGCAGAAGTATAGATGTCAAAAGCCCCTCAAAAAGTTGCTGTTCAGCTTTTAAAGAGGTAAGGCTTTTGGAAATTATGGAAACCAAAACTGCACAAGGACAGAAAGTTAACGTTCAGAGGAGTTTGTAGTCTACCCAATACAAAGAAAAATTAGAGAACATTGGCTTTAAGTCATTTTTAAAAAGCTAAGAAAAGCAGATTTGGATAGTTTCATTAATGGAATAGTTGGTAAAAAGTGACGTAATGTAAAAGCTAATCATAAAGCAATCTTCCTGAGTGTGAAGTGAGGCAATTTCATTAACAAAATACAATAAATCATTAACAGTACATTTGTTGGTAGTAAGGGACTGGAGTAACAGGACTAGAAATTTAGCCAGTTGATGAGAATGTGTACATAAGGAAGGCAATATATTAGGTCAAGAGTCATAGGGGTAAATTTAATCAAAGGTTATTTAGGAGACAGTATTGGACATTTTTAGGTTTCTAATGATGCTCTGAAATTTTTCTTTTCATTGAAGGGATTTTTTTCCATTGTGTTTAACAACCATAATTGTCAGCAATAATTGGTCATATTTAATTACTTAATGTGACTGGAACATTTACAGAAAACTTTATTGGTTATCCTGAATAATTCTCAAAAATACGAACAACTTCCAAAACTAAAATAATTATTACATTTATAATTATTAATATACTTTTTGAAATTGATAATGTATACATTTACAAACAATCAATAATAAAAATTAACTTTTTCATCCACTAATAAGAGATGATTACATTCTCCAAAATCAAAGGAGATGTAATGAAGTGTGGTTTGTAATGATTTGCAAGTGATTTTTCATCTCAACTAGTCATAAAAATTGCAATTAAAAGATTCAAATATTCACATATTTAAATATATCAATATAATAAAAAGGCTGTAAAACAAAAATTTATAATTTAAACAAACTGTGTGGCTCAAAAAATATATCATTGAAAGAAAAATGAAATGTTGGAAAAAATTCATTAGATTAAAGAATGACAAAAGCATAAAAAGGTCAGAGTAATACATGCTAAATATGTACTATTTTACTAATATTCAACAAATTCATTTTGCCAAGTATTTTAGAATAAAAGTTAATTATTATTTAACATAGTGACTGTTTGGTAACTATTATCTTTGAATAGATTTTAATAAGATATCATGAAAATTTTATTACTAGCAATCTGCATGTCTACTAGTTAAGTTTGATATAACTTGACAATCTACATTGTTTACAGCTAACTACAATATTGAGGACAGATATTTTCAAATTAACGTTTTCTTTTTATAAGAATTTTGATACTGTTTTCATGATTCAAATAATTCAAATAAAAACATACCACAACATGCATATATCTTATCATTTGTGTACTTACTCAGTTGATATAATTTTTTGTTTTAAGACAGCAAATTTTAATGCCTCTTCCTTTTTGGTTTGATCCAACATCTGTAATTTAACAATTAAACCTTCAGAAAAATAATTCAAAAGTAATTACTGTTTTTATTATATATATTTCAAAATACCCATTTCTTGTTGAAATATTTCTCTTATTAGATGTGCTCTTTAGGTTATATTTCATAGTCAATAAGCTTTCTTGTACATGTAAAAAAATAAACTTTCTTAAAACAAACTACTGAATTAAAACTAAGTCTTACAATTGCATAGGTTACAGGTCAAGTTTAACTTTGCAGTTTATAGTGGAAATTATCATCTTATACTGAAAGAAATGTTTAGGTATTATATATTTGCTCGGTATACATACATCTGTAGAGAGAATAGAACTATTTTTTGTAAATTGATAAAACTCTAGTTTTATACATAAACTGAAACATGTACACATCATAAAAATGATTTTATCTCTTATTTCAAATAACCTTTGTAAACACACAAAATACTATAAACATCAATGATTTGTTTTCATCGGCAAAAATATCAAATAAATGTACACATACAATCAACAGAAGAGTTTTACTTAAATAATCACCAATTTAAATATTCCAATCATACAAAAAATTACTAGACTTCTTTTTGCTTAAGTACAAAATGTAGAAATATTCAATTTTATCAGAAATAAGTTTATGAATAAATTGTCTTAATTCTAAATATAAGCAAGTTTAAAACAAAACAATGTGTAACACTAAAACTGTTACTCTTTATCATAGTTAGTGGCCTATACAATCACCTAAGGCTAATTATTAATCAGTAACAATCTTTTTTTAAGTATAAAACTAGATATTAATTACTACCTAGTTTTATCTTATGTTTCAACTGCTAATCTGCTACTATCTTCAGGAAAGTCCTGAGAAGGATTACTGCTGTGTTGGTAGTGGCCACGTTTTGATCCTAAGTCTTCTTTGATGGATGTTTGGTGCATTATCCACTTGAATGTGGTCTTCCTCTCCCCTTTACAATTTGAATAAACTAATTATGTGAATGTTTTAAAGAGATGTATTGAGCTAATGTTTACTTCTATGCTTTGTTATTATTTATGAGGATATAGAAGGCTTATTTTATCCAGCATTGTTCATATTTTATTAATTTAGTATTATTCTAATTTATCAAACGGTCTTCTCTGACATAATGGAACATTGCAGAGAGATTGGTATTACAGAGACATATTCTCCTGAATTACAACTTTCGTTGGTCTTTTTTGTTTCTCCAATGTATTGAAACCTACATTCACAGGACATTGTAAATGGTGTTTTTCATCCTAAACAGTGTAAAGACAGACATCACAGGCCACCACTTAGTTATTCCAGAAAGAACAATATTTGCAAGTTAACATTTTCCTATATCGAAAAGGTATTTCCGGTAATACTTACCTCCTCTCACACCTTAGCTTTATCCCAACAAAAGTTTCTCTTCTCTGCCCATCTAAGCATTGGTATGAATTTTACCTCACTTACTCCAGCCTTTATACCCCACTATATTGCCCAAAGCTAGTTAAATATTGTGATTCTCTTCAACTATATCAATACACCCTTTATACCAGATCTATATATGAGCTCCCAGTCATTATTTCATATTCACTTTTTTCGAGACTGGAAAAATTATCAATCCCAAATGGATAGGGAGTGGATTGATATAGGTAGAGAGAATCACAAGATTTAACTTGCTTTGTGCAATATAGTGGGCTATAAAGGTTGAAGCAAGTGAGGTATGATTAACAACAATGCTTAGATGGGCATAGAAAAGAAACTTTTGTCTGGATAAAGCTAAGATGTGAGATGAGGTAAATGTGTTTTAGAAAATTGGAAAAAAAAAGTAACAAAACTATAACTTTCAACAATTGATAACTGGAACACTCGATAAAGAAGATAAACACCAGGAATATGCAGGAAGAAATTTACCAATATACAGCTATATTTTCCTATGTCGGAGGTCTCTCTGACAGCATAAATTTAGAACAGTATTCAGAAACCAGAATACAATACAACCACAGTTAGTACATCCAATTACCTAAAGATCCAATGAAGATGAAAAACACCACTTAAAAAACCTCTGTGAATGTGGATTCCAATACACTGGGAAAAAAAATTAGAACTTGGGAAAACAATAAACATTCAAGATACAGTAAAACCTATTTATCTGTAATAACTAGAAACAAAGACCATACAATAAATTGGAATAATACTACAATGAACCACATATGAGAATAGAAATGTGAAAAAGTTTTCAAATGGTTCATTAAAGTTCCAAATGGGGAGACCCCAGTTGAGTGGATAAAGCACCAGCCTTCCATCAAAGGCCCAGGTTAAGTTCCTGTCATTATCAACACAGAAAGTCCTTCTTGTGGTTTCCCTGAAAATAGCAGCAGCTTAGAAGACACAATGTAGGACAAAACTAACTAATAATTAGTAACTAGTTATAAAAAAAGAAATAATATTAGTTTATTTAGCCTTAAGCAAGAGCTTACCTATGACTAAATGTTTTTAAATTGTTGGATAAATGTTTTTGACTCATGAAAAAATTTTACTTCATAAGAATATAAATAAAACTTTAGATTTTCTTAGTTCACAACCATGGTATCTAATTACAAAAAAGGAGAATAAAGAAACAAAAAGAAACATTTTTATGCCAAAAAGAATCTATAAGCATTTTCATTTTTTATAAAAGTAAGACATTTTCATTTAATTATGTTTGTGTGAGAGTTGAATATCAAAAATCATTTAATATTTTTTTTCTTTTAAAGGCTATGATGTCATGTGGCCTGGTTGCACTTAGAAATTAAAGCATACTTTAAAAAGCTAAATGCTTTTCAATTCTTTTTCACACTAATTGTGTATATGAATAAGAAAAAATTTTTGTTTATTTGATATCTAACTTATTTATTTAGTAATTTCATGATTATTAATTCATTAAATATTATATAGAGCCAATGCTATCAGCAAGTCTTTCTCGTACACAATGGTTTCATAAACATCTTTTTTAAGGTACAATAACTGAATAATTAAAATTAAAAGCTGTGTAGGAATATGGAAGTTCCATGTCAAAACACTTAAGTTAATATTGTTATGATAGCGGAAGTCACACAACGTTGGGAGCATGCGCACTGGAGTTTCTAGAAGGATCATGACTTATCGAGGAACCTCGCGAATGTCCAAGTGTTTGCCAGGCACCCTCTTTTTTTAGTATATAAGCCATGCAAACAAAGCCAGCAATAGATAGATATGCAGACAGAGATAACTGAGTCAAGTGAACAGTAGGCACCTTAAGTAAAGTGTGTGAATCACTGTGATTTATAGCATGCATTATAAAGGTTGTTAAGTTTAATGTGACTGTGGAAACTTTTTGTATCACAAAGTTGTATCGAGAAAGAATAAACTAGTTTTAATTAAGAAAGGACTTGTATCGCTGAAGTACCTCGGAAATAATTTATACTGAAAATTAACAAACGAGCAGATTCACAATAATATTATGCCAAAAGGATGAATATTTTATAAGTTCTAGCTAAAAAAAATACAAAAAATTATATTTTTTGGTCTAAAAATGGTTGTTGCTTGTTTCCCTCTTCTCCAGTAATTAAGATAGTTCTTTCACAACAATTGAAATATAATTATAACTTATATTAATCCCAGGGCAAGTCCCCAAGACGAATAATAATATTGTCTGAAACAGTGAAAGTGAAACTAAAGCCTAAAGGCATGATAACTACAGAGATAGTGTAATTTAGAGTATACTAGGAGAAAAGTACTGGGTTAGCAATTTATCATTGACAACTTATAATTATAACATTATTTATCAATATAGTACTGTTAAAACTATACTATCAATAGTAAAACTAATAGTATTATTATCATAACAACACTGGCTAACACTAGTTTTGCTTCAGTTACAGTGCACGTTTAATTGTAATGTTAGTATTGATGTAACACCTTTGCTTACCTCTCTTAACTGTTGACAACTAGGCTTATCACAGATAATTTCTTGATGACCCTCATCCATAGTCATATAGTTGGAAAACTACCAGAATGTATTAACATTTATTTAACGTCATATAATGGGTAACATCAATTTTATCATTTCAAAAACTGGCTTCCACTTAAGCCTAAATTATATGATCACCCTTAAGGTTAAGCCTAAGCCCGAAAAGAAAAAAAGAAAAAACAAAACTACCCATTTGCACTTTTCTAATGAAACATTTAAAAGAAAAATTACATCACTGAAATCTATATACAAAAATTAAATAAACAAAGTGTCTAATGCTTTGCTTTAATGTTAAATGTTTATAATAATAAAGAAATTTGTTGTGATGTTTATGTACGAAACTACTCCTAGGCTTATTATAGATGGCGTTAAATTAAAAGCCTATGCTGCAAAATAAAGAAAGTGAATTGTTCTAAACGTGTAGATAATGTGGCTGACAATTTACATATTAGTTTTGTTTATAGAATTTCACATGAGTGATAGATATATTGATAGAAACAAAAAAAAAATTAAATTTCATGTCAAAGCCCAAACTTTAGTTTATTTGCCCTTATTTCTGTGGATTATAATAATGTGGCCTAACTCTTTTCTCTCTTTTTACATTGGCAGCATTCTTATCTCAAACTTGAGTCAAGAGCAATGTTGCCAAGTCCGCTTTTAATAAGCGAAATTTGGCTTGTTTTTCTTAAATACCTTTTTAAACATTTGCGAGTTGCGATTTTCGGGATTGTTTTATTCCGAGGTCGTTTATTTGGCCTTTTATATAGTAGCTGACTTCAACACACAATAAAATTGCTGTAAGAGTGATTTCGGGCCCGGCATGGCCCGGTGGATAAGTCACTCGGCTCGCAATCGTGTCGTGGGTTCGCGTCCTTGTCGCACCAAACATGCCCACTTGGGCGTGGGGCTAGCAATTCCACCCCGATAACAAAAATCTGCTACGGAAACTGCAACAAAAACACTTTCGTCGGTGAAGTGTTGTTGTAGCCCTATGTTCCACTAGGAACGACAGGAACTAAGAAGAAGAAGGAGTGATTTCAGTGATTGATTCGGTTAATGAACAATGTTACGTCTCTGGTCGTTAGTTAATTTTCCGTAAAAATTATTTCTGAAG